CTCGGCGTCTGATGAGTTAGGAAACTGTCGACGTAGGGATGCCATCGCGGTCTTCTCGGAAGCTCGCTTAAAGGCGATTACCTCGAGGGCTCCCTGGGTGTGTTGATCGTCGTATAGTCTTCGTTGCATTTTGAGAGCACGGCCCGCATCGGTGTCTGGGTCAACACCCTCCAAGTATCGCGCGGCCGGCAGAACTGCCCCGGAGCTACTCGCGGGTGCTTGGGAGAACTGCTCGATTGGATCGGGTGCAGTCGTGGGAACCTCGGGAAACTGTTCAATCGGATCAATGTCCATCGAGGTCTGACGGTGGCTGGCCATCGCGTCGGGTGGGTCGGGAGGTTCGGGAGTACAAACAGGGCTTGAGAGGTCGAAGTCTACGGAAGCCAAGCAATCTCCAAGGAGAGAGCAGGCCCCACTACAACTAGTAGAGCCTGTGGTACACACAAGTGGTTGTACTGGGCAATGGGCTTCACTTCTTGTTCTCGTGTGGGCATAGCGAGAGTCGAGGTAGACTATCGGGTAGAGTGGGACACGTCGCCGAGGCGGAATTCCCCCCTAGAGCCCGAAATCGAGGTCACTCCCGTGCGTCGCCGAGGCGGAAACGGGGTAACCATGTGAGACCGGTGGGCTTCGGGAGCGTCTAGTTGAAAGATCGAGAGCCTTCTCGAAATCGTAGGATGAAGGCTGGTGGCTCTGCGGCGATGATGGGTCGCATTCTCTCGTGTTGGGCGAAAGCACTCCGCATCGCCGGAGCTAGCATGTTCGAAGTGCACGAGATGATCGCAGATGCTTGTTCGCGAAAGAAGGTCGTCATCGGCTCGAAGTTCGGCATCTGTGCCGCAAACAGGTTGAGGTTGTGGGCTGTGTGGCACCACATTCGAAGTCGGTGCATGCGGTACTCCACCGATGTATGACTCAAGTCGGAGAGGGACGCCGTCATGCTATGCCAGACCATCGAGTAGATCAGTGTAGTCCGGGGGTCGACGAAGTTGTTCGGGACACCCAGGAGCAAGACCCTCTCCTGGAGAGTGTCGTCCTGAGGGGTATGAATCGGGAGGTCGATGTACAGCCCAAACTGTGTCAGATAGCTCCCGAAGGTCGGGCATCGGAGAACCTGTTCGAGGTAAATGACGCCGTCATATGTGATTTCCCATGGGGAATCGAAGGCAAAGGACGAGTACGGGTGGTTGCCGGGAGGAAGCATCGCGACATTGTGTCCGCCCACCGGTGTCATCGCCTGTAAGTTCGGGGACATCATCGGGAAGTTGTCGAAGTGTCTCAAAGTCTGGAATCCGAACACAGGTTCGTGTGATACCGATGGATTGGATCGGACATCGTCGATCGACGTCCTGCCCTTGTCAACCACCTGTGTGTCGAGCCACTGTACTCGGAATCTCTCGAGGCAGGACTGTCGAGGTGGCTGTGGCTGAATCGCGGTCGGTACACCCGTGTATGGACTCTGCATTGATGTCGCGACCGTCGAGGAGGAGGCAGCTCCAGCCTGGGTCGTGTTCGGTGTCAGGACCTGTCTAGGGTCTGGTCGTGACAGGTCCACAGCTGGGTGGACCGTAAACCTCGGAGGAACCACTTTGGGCATAGCCTTCGTCTGTGCCCCCACAATGGTCGTGGTAGTCGGTGTGCCGAAGGCTGGGTTGATCCACTCGGAGTCACTCGGGTTGTTGGTCGTAGTAGTTGTGGCTTGGTCCGTCGGCTGTGTTACCTGGGTACTCATCGGAGTCGTGGTCGGAGGTGTAGCCGGAGCTGCCATCGGGGGAGTCGGTGGTTCCGTGGTATCGTCGTCCGGATGCCAAGGATCCGGAGACGCCGGTCGAGTCTGTTGTGTGGTAGTATTAGGTGTTGCCGTCGGAGTCGGAGCCGGGGTAGAGGCTGCGATCTCATCCGGGACCTCGACGATTACCGGCGTGTTGTCGAGCCATCGTTTAGCCGGTGATTGCGATCGTCGAGGGAATCTCGCCGGTGATAATGGTCGATTTGAACCGCGAGCTGCTCCATCGCCGGGGCGGAAGGCAGCTCGGGTAGATCGACCGAAGCTAGGGGCATCGGAGTCTGTGTCCGTGCCCAGCTGGAAGAATGGTCGTCTCGGCGCGGTGCTCGGAGGTGCTGTCGAAGGTGCCGCAAATGGTGTTGGGTTCGTAGGAGCAGTCGACGGTGTAGCTGCCGGAGGGAATCGCGATCCCGAGGAGGGGAAAATATTCCCTCGCGGTGGGGTCGGAGGCTGTCCCCATGTCGCTGGGGGGGGTCGAGAGTCATCGCGTGCTCGTCGGGGAGATCGTCCTCGATGATTGCCCTCTGCCATATCTTGTCGGAGTCTGGCCGCAGCGTCGGATTTGTCCCATGCTTCGAAGTCGTAGTACTTGGAGAAGTTGGTGCCGAAGTTGAATTTGCGCATCTCGGTGTGGCGAAAGGTAGCCATCGTGTCCATGATCCACTCCTTTGCCTGTTCTCGAGTCACTTGCTCGAGGAAGGCACCTCGTGATGAGTAGTGGTACGGAGGCTCACCGCGTCGGAGTTGTCGTTGCAGGACAACAGCTCGTCGCATGGCATCATCGAAAGTATGTCCGTGTTGGTTCCAACATGTGTTGTGGTACTCGCAGCATCCCTGGAACCATTTATGGCAGATTAGATTAGGCACCACCCATTTCTTGTTCAGGAAGTCGGGGTGTAGGTGCACACAGTTATGCATGTTGCAGTTCTTGTTATCGAGGATTCGGGGGCGAATCTGTCGTTTGATCGCGGACAGAGGTACTCGGGCTTCGTCGTGGACTCTTTCGGGGAACTCAGCGAGCATAGAGCTCGGCACAGGTGCAGTGAAATTCTGCGTCGAGCCCTCGCAAAGAAAATCGAACCAAGAGTCAGATCGAGGGACTGCCATGGCTTCGAAGTAACTAATCCAAGTCGATGGATGTCGTGTTAGAGGGCTTGAGGCGCCCTTCGAAGTTTCTCTTTCGAGCTGTAGAGGCAGCGGGTTCGGGATTATGAAGTTCGATGCCAAAATCATCACGAAAAATGTCTGCCAAATGCTGATTATGCAACTCTGTCTCGTGTACAAGGAGAGCAGCATCAGTCTCCGCTGGAAGGGGTGCATGATCGGAGTCAGGGTGTTTGGAAGCCTCGACGATCTCGAAGGGCACCGTCAGCGGCTCCGCGGACTCGTCGCGGTTGGTAACGTGCAGGTACAGGAAGGCCTCGAGATTGGGCGGCTTCAACAAAGTCGCCGCCAAATTGACAATGTCGTTCGCCGTCTGACAATGGGCGATCTGGTCGATGGCCTTCCGTATTTGTCGGGATTGTCGTTTGTTCCAGGCTCCCCACGTCACATCCTCGGGTTTCTCGATTTGAAAATCTTCGAGAACTTGCTCGCGGCTGAATTCCTCGAGCGATTCCTTCAAACTGTCAACAACTGACAGAGAAGCCGTAATGCTCGAAGTACTGGCCGCCAGCAGCGGTCGTAGTAGAACTCGGGGTACTGGCCGCCCGGAGCGGCTATGACCGAGGAGTGATCCGAGGGGACTGAAACAAAATTTCTCTCAAGCTGGAACAGCTTGAGCCAAAATGGCCACGGAATATACAACCGTTCGAATTGAATCGGTGAGTTAATCCCCTGACCGATTCGGTGATCAAGTGAGATAATATGTTGTCACTTCGCACAAACAAGTGCGTGCTACACGACAAATCCGTCAGCTGCGTGCGGGGTGGTTGGTTTCTGCGTTGAGTAGGCCACCGCCCAACACCGCGAAAAGTGGCAATGTCAACACCAAGGTACCACTACCCGTCACTTCCCCAGATTAACAGATTACCTTTAGAAAGGCTGACGCTGAAGTACCCCTCCACACTGAGCCAGCTTTGCCCCAGAAGCCAGAAGCCGAACTAGGAAATCAGAGGGATGGGCTACACCCACGGACGACCCAAGCGGGCCCCGACCCGGGACGGTGACTTCCATACTGCCTGAATCACGTTGGTCGCGAGTCGCAATTTTCCCGAACCGTGAATAGAAATCGTAGCCTAACTAACTAAGACTCCGAACCCTTTCCCCTAAACTTTAACCTTAAAACCTAACTCGGCCCAAAATAAGCCCTGCACAAGCAGGCCTCCTCTTTCTTGCCTTCGACCATCTGCTGGTAAGTCAGCTCCCAATCCTGAAACTACGCATCGGGTGTACGCACAGGGTGTAGGGTTAGGATTTGAGACGAAATGTTTAAGATTTAGGACATTCAAGATTGAGATTTAGGGTGTGGGGTATCGGGCGCTCAAGAAGGAAACAGGTCAGCCTAGGCTGTTGGTGGCACGGATCCAGCAATAGCAATCTGCACGTTGGCGAGCTTAGTCGGCCAGTATCATAAGAGGAACCTAAGGTTAAGCTTTGGGAATATATTATTATACAGATATTATGATACTCAAAAAGCTTAGAGCTACCGACTCCACTACGAAGAAAGCTGCTTGCAAAGATCTCGGTTTTTCCATCTCGCATGGGCACAGACACTACCAGACGAGACCTCTTGGGTTGATACCCAATTTGTTTTTGCCTCCTACTTCGCAAGGACGAGCCCGCTTGGCAGGGTTAGACAGGTCCAAAAACGAAGGTCAGTTGGTTTCATGGACTTCGGTTTCTTTCCCACCCGCCCAGCTGAAAGGCCTAGGGTTTAGTGCATGGAGCTGCTAGTGTCCTGATTCACGACCAACCACCACAAGGAATTGTGTTCTGCAGCCGACATCTTTTGCTTTACAGATTTACAAAACCTAGGTGGAACCAGAGTTGCTGTGATAATCACCCCAAGCAGGGCCCAAGATCTACTACAAGAAGCCAAACGAAAGACCTGGCATGATACCAGCTACCACAATTCCAAATCGCCGAAAAGGATATCTGAGGGCCAAAGATTACAGCCTAGGCTGAATTAAGTTCCGGATTGCCTCTTTCTTGAGTCAGTATGCAGGACCATATAGCTTGTGGCTGGAAAGCCACAAACAAGACGGCTTCGGGTTCAGGGTCTTGTGGCGACAGCGGCGTGCATGTACGCTACAGATAGTCTTCGAGATGTGACCAGACCGTGCCAAGAGTCGAGGACCGCCTGCGCACGTCCTTCGTACCTGTGGGATGATTAGAAGATGCTTCATTACTTGCTTGGTGCAAACAGGCAGGCTACCTAAGCTACCGCAATATACGGTAAGCCTTGAAGCGCATGATCGTCCTCAACATCACCCCTCCCCCCACCACCATGACAAAACAAACACAACCACAACCTCACAAAGTCCCACACATCCCCCCTCTGCAAATCCTCCACTGTGCCTGAGGCATTCGAAGAAGGCGGGCCAACGATCTCGAAACATCATCTCCCACTTCGCTGTACGGATCCTCGGTCAAAAGAGCCGTTGGGTTTAGGGCTTTTAAGGGTTTAGAGCTTTGGGGTTTGGGTTTTTTTGAGCTCCTTTTTATGTCTGCCCAACTGGTTGAGCTAGCATAAGGACAACGGCCAGGAGATGGAGCAGCGAGTGACTTACGCACTCGCCACTCTGAACTGGTTTGGGGTTTAGGGTTTACTATACTGAACTTAGAACCCTAGCAACAAGTATATTTTTAGCTGTTTCTCAGGGATTAGAATAACAAAAAAATCAAACACTTATTTCGAAGTACCCCTAAGTTTCGGCGCTCACACTCGGACAAAGGGTTTAGGTTTAGGGTTCAGTGTTTAGGGGTTTTGGTGTTTTCGGGCTGGGGAATTTAGGGCTCTTCGTCTCGAAGCCGGGGTTTGTGGAAGCCCCTTGCGACCCACAACAAGAGCAATCGCAGCCCCTTGGGCTTCCACTATAACACGATTGGGTTAAGGGTTTAGATTTGAAAGGAACTTTCACTACATGTCAAGCTGTTCCAAGCGGAATTGGGCTTGGGAGAAAAACGGAAGTTAGCGCGCACCCCGAGCCCTGCAAACCTTGATATACCTAAACGGCCCCTTCCATCAACAAATCAACAAAACAAGTGATCGTAACGAAAGCCCAGACACACTGACAATCCCACAACTATGCCTAGGCTGAAACCGAAGCCCCACATCCCATTATGTGATGAGGGCCTATAAGGGTTCCCTTTAGGGCTCCATGCAACTTTATAGGGTTCATAACGAGCTAACTAAACTTTTTGCATAGATCAGAGGGGAAGTGAAGAAGGTTGTTGACTTCAGGCACGGGGTTAGCCTTAACTTGGCTCGCGCATGGGACTGCGACTCTCGCATGATGTCAACTTGTCCAACAACTTCAGGCCAAATTATGTTCAGCCAGTCTTCCGGCGTTGAGGGTGTCTGGTACGGGTGGCATTGCTTTGGGATATCAACTGCCAACAAACTCATTCATTTGGGCTCTTCTTCTTATATAGGGACTATAAAGGAATACAACAACTACTTACTTAGCCTTCTACTTGATTGCCGAGTCCTACTACTTCTTCTATATTGTACGAGTCCTACTACTAGCATTAGTCTAATACAGTATTACGCATTCTAAATTCAGCCTCCTGCAGAAGACTGCGGCAGACTCCGTTCTTCACAAGCAGGTCTAATAGAAGTTGCCATGATAGGGATCTATAGTACAAAAATGCTTTCCTTATCATGGCAATGTATATCCCTAAACCTGAAGAAAACCCTGAACCCTAAACCCTTAAACCCGTACAGTACACCCTAAATTCCCTGAACCCTCAGCACAAACCAGCAGATGCAACCCAAAGACTGCCAGCTGTGCTCGGCAATGGACTTCGAACCCAGGACAAAGGTCCTGACCATGTCCACTGGTGCCTGAATTGGGCTTTTTGTGGTTAAAGGTTTAGGGTTCAATTCAGGAATTGGGGTTTCGGGTTGGTGCCCGAGTTGGGTTTTCTGTTGTTAAAGGCTTAGGGTTTAGGGAGTTGGGGGTTCGGGCTTAAAGCTTCCTCGGGTTTAGGAAGTTTAGGGTGCAGGGTGTAGAGACACATCAAAGCATAAGCTTCAATGTTGCATGTTCCGTACATGCGGCTTTCTGGTGGTTAGGGATCCGGGGTTGAAGGGGTCAGCGTTTGTAACATCTGCTAATTAAATGTAGACCTTTCTAGGTTACGGTTGTTTCAACGCAAAGTTTCCGCAGCGATACACTTAGTCCAATGATGCGCCATGACATAAAGCCACCTTGTTTTATAAGGTTTGGTTTGACACACAGTGAAGTCTTCAAGGACTTAGTTGCTTCAACTTTCCACTCTATGCAAACTGATTAACCACGACATGGTTAAGAACATCCGGGGCTCACTTGCCTGACCTTGAAGCCAACTCGAAAAACCACCTACAAACCTGCGGCACAGCATGAAGCTCTATACTTTGCACAGTATGCCCTGCAATGCATGCAGCTTGGAGAGATGTCGTCCTTCCACCATGCGCGCGCCACTATAGTGGTCAGAATAACTGCAAAAGGATGTTACTAGTACCCCCGTCCCTATTTCTTTATCGTCAAATGTACAGTTTATGGCATTCTGCGAATATGTTTACATATATATATATATATATGTATACTGGACTTTGAAGTAGCCCGGGAGCAAAACGTATAAACCTTAATTCAATATCGGCTCCTGCAAGGAACAGGTACCCAAAAAAGTTGTGGTACTCCAGAACCCCGGTACATGTGTATATATATATATATATATACACACACACACACGGAAGGCCCACATATTCGGGACTTTAGGACGGAGTTCGGGTGCTGAGTTCCTTGTCCGTGGATATAGGGACTGGACTTGGGAGTTTCCGAAAATAGGGGACCCCAATATGGTACCCTAAATAGTTTTTTGAACCCGTGCTGAGGCCAAGGCTTACGACGGGAGAGGTATGTGCAAACGCAGCTTGCTTCCATAGCAAACCACACTGCAAACACCATCAGATTAGAGGGAAAACGCACTTGCACTCCATGTTAGAGGAACTCGCGAGAACACGAGCATTACCGCTGTGTGCTGATAAAAGTTGCAAATGAGATTGGGGAGCTGTGGCAGCACAACATCCACGCATCCTTATTATATGGACCCCAAACTGAGGTACCCCTAATTTTCGGAAACTCTCACTTTGTTACAGGACATGACGAAAACGTGTTGGTATGTGAGTTTGCGGCAGGCGTGCAAACTAGACCGAATCAATCACGCCCACCTCTGCACAGGCTAAACATGGAGTCATGGAAGGCCAGAAGTTCTACGCCACGTTGCGGCAAGGAACTCGAGGATGTGTGAAGCCACCGGCAGGGCCTCACAGCTGACAATTGCCTTACTGCGTTGCTTCTGCTCCTGTGTTTCTGTATATGGGCAACCTACATGTTTACCACTGGTTCTCGTGACACAACAGACTAAACAAACTGTGGTGGTAGTGGCCGGCAAAGAGTACTTGTGCAACGGTAAGCTAGGACTAGGAGTAGCAACAGTATAGCCTTAACAACTGTATCAGAAGCAGCAGTAGCAGCAGTAGCAGCAGCAGTGTGCACGTCAGGACAACAACTTTGATTGCTCCGCATTTCACGTGCTGTGCTGCTATGCCAGCGCTGACAGGCCAAACATGGCCTACATGTCGCAGGCTCAAGCACGAGATTCTTGCCACTTGGATTCCTTCACAAAGCCCGTTTAGGTTCTTGACACTCACACTCGGACAAGCCTGGCAAAGAACGGATTAAGGTCTTGGAACCAAAAGTATCGAGGCAATCTTGGATTGAAAACTGTTGTATTGTATGGGTGGGGAGAGCTAAAGGTTGATCTGCTAACATCTGCACCACGAGCCCTAAACCAAAACTTTCTCGCCCAATATCTCAAGAGAAGAAGTCTGCACGTTCGTGACATTCCGAACAGCTTTAATCCTGCAGGGCCCAACAGATTCCACCTCTGAAGTGCAGCCCAGGGAGCCAACACGTCGTGCGCTGGAGAACTCCAGGAGTCAGGCGTGATTTCCTCAAAATGTGATGTACGAAGCTGATTAGTCACGTTGATTCAGAGATTCAGGGTCCGTCGCCGTACACGTCGCCGGGTTCTTACTGCAAATCTGATTACTATCGGCGTCTTGTTCGAACAGGGGATTTGATGATCAAGTTCCAGTGGATACGTGCCAGAAAGTCGGAATGTTGGCCTGAAGGAAGCTTAATTCAGGTAGCTGGAAAACCTAAACCCTAAACGGCCCTAAACCATAACTGTGGGAAACGAAGCATTTTGTTCAAAGTTCAAAGTACAGGGCGAAGCCTACTCTAGAATGTAGAATGTATGAGAGTTTCGGAATGACGTCCTGCTGGCCGCCGACGCTTCCAAGACCGAATTTTGAACTCAAGCAACGTCGCAAGCTGGCAGCAAACGCAAAGCTCCAAGACCCTTGCTGTAGGGGTCTTGATACTTGGGATGGGATCTGGGGCACATCGTAATTAATGCACGTCCTTTCTGGGGGCTAAAACTCTAATTTAAAATTCCAACACTTTCACTAACATCGTGACTGCTGAATGCATTCCTCGTTGCGTTTCATGGGCCATGCTTGTGTAAGGTCGCCCCTGTAGAGCTAGGGGGGTTGGTGCAAGCGCGGGGTGTTTAGGGTTCGTGCAACCCCTCTGTTTCCGAAATGATGATAGTGCAAGCTAGATGCGCAATTAAACCTCAACACAGTGTATTTGTGGCGCTGGTTATAAGCCAAACACCCCGACCTACTTCCTCGCACACGTGACGTTTCAGAAATGAGGAAGCCTTTGGCAAGATAGATCCCTACTAAGATCCTTGTACCAGACCCCGGGATAAAGTATGTCTACTGTTGTTAGCACCCACACCTGTCAACACTCTCACAAGCCCTGCAACACTACGAACAAGATATTTCAGAATGTACGAACTCCAAGATAGCCCTTGCGGAAGCCCTCTAGAATTGCCAATGCACTCGTACAAACCCCACAGAGACCCTCGACAGCGCTCCTCCAAGAAGCGCTTGAGGGACTGCGATCCTTCTCCTGTCAATAGGTTTAGGTATTAGGGTTTAGGGCTGTTCAGGATGTGGGGTGTAGGGTTTTGGGTCAGTGGACGATAGCTCAAGGTTAAAAGGGCGTGCTGTTAGGCTGAAAAGGGGTTCTAGAAGGGTCTGTCAAGTTTGTCACTGGGCTTCAAAGACTGGTTTCTTGAAGGTCCTGGAGCCGCCTGCTTTTGGAGATTGTATCGGTGATTATGGGCTCAACTCAACTGTGCAGATCCTACCACGACGGGTACAGGGGAGTCGTAGTAGGATGGGTGTTGCTGACTGCCGACCGGCTGCCCCTAATCGCGAGCTTTTCTCGGGATCAGGCTTGAGCTTACAGCAGTATCCAGATAGAGACGACACTGGCATCTAATTAGTGGGTCCGGATGAAGGGATCATCATGGAGAACTGTAGTCACCTGTATAGCAACCTCTACAGCACCCTATCGGAGTTCAACTACACAGGTGGAGGATGCACGCGCAAGGTGCCGGTGTACATTTTGAGCTGCTTGGTTCTTCTGGGTGACATGTTTTGGAGATCCAATTCATAAACTCTCTGGAGGGTCAGAGTCATACCCATTCCCCCTTCTACATAACCGGTCCTAACCACAAAACTAGATACTCTCAAAGAAGGGGGCAGGGCATGTCGCGGTAGTGCTGGGGCGAAGCCCAGGTCGGGTTTAACGAAGTCCCTCAGATGTCTAGTATAGGTTCACCTTTGGGGATCTACAAGTTATATAGTATAGAGGATTCTCATACCACAAACAGGTTAAAGCGCGCCATGAGATAATCTGTGTCCCCAGCAGACGGCGTGAGACGAGCTTCGCCACAAACAAGGGCGAAGGGTACCGACGCTGCTACTCTAGTTCCTGCTTGGGATAGTATTAAAGGTTTACATGTTTATTCCTTGTTGGTTCTAATTTAAGTACCCATAAAAGATGTAAAACTTTACCCAACTATGATAAAGCTACGCAGTTTCAGGGTGCCAAAGGTCTTGAGGGAACTCCGGGATCGAGAGAAATTACGCGAAGAAAGCCTCGCTTCCCAAGAAGCGAAGACACGCAAAGAAGGCCAAGGTTTTGACTTCTGGCAGAGAAGCCCTGATCAAAGATCATGACACCGAGACTGCCGTTTGCTAGCGTGAGAAAAGAAGGCTTGCGTAGGGTTTGCGCGTTTCAATCTCTTGCCTTTATGAAGAACGTCGCAGAGCCAGGGCTCGATGGCGACGCACGTCTCCTTCTGGTCTTTGTCTTGCGAGGATGACGGGCTGGGTCGGGGCTGGGTATTTAACTTCTTGCAGATGTGCATAGTGTCGCCATTTGCTCGATCAAAACAGAGAATAAGGCTACGATTTATGCCCTAAACCCAAACCCATACTCGAAGGTGGCTGTTGTCAATGCTGCCTTCTCGCAACCATCAATGCTGTGCTCGGTATTGACTAGCCTCTCACTCTTCGATAGTCTCTCCGGTCCATCCGAGTTTCCGCTTCAACTGCATCTCTGGTGTCACTGTGAATGGGTAATAACCATGTCCGTCTTGCACTCGTCTTTATCGTCTCGCACAGAGTCGCCTGGTTTGGCCCCGAAGTTCCCCTGTCTGAAGATGTAGAGAAAGCGAGGGAGTAAAACAAATAGAGAGAGAGAGAGAGAGAGAGAGAAGTGTAATTTCAGGCTCTAAGAAGCTATTTCCAGTCTCTCCGGGGCGGCGCTCTGCGCTGAATTACCGTTCTTTCTCATGGGTGTGCAACAGAACGACACAGCCATGCCGTGCCTTTTGAAGCCTCTACAGCCCGTCAGTTTTGAGTCCGGAGTCCTTGGTGTAGTAGCTCCAAAGCGCAGGGGGCACGTGGTAAAACTCCTGAGACGTGAACATGTCGCGGACGGGCCATCGGGAAAGATGTGAATGTGGCAAAACGACTGGCCCGAACCCCCACCGCTGGAAACAACACTGAGTCCTCTGCTACGTCTGCTGCTGCTGCTCCTCCTGCTACTGCCACTGCTACTCTGGTGCTGCTACTACTACTACTGCTACTACTACTACTACTCCTACTACTACTACTACTACTGCTGCTACTACTACTACTACCACGACTACGACTACTACTACTACTACTACTACTACTACTACTACTACTATTACTACTACTACTACTACTACTGCTACTACTACTATACTCCTGCTGCTGCTGCTGCCGCTACCGCTGCTGCTGCTTTTACTACTACTACGACGACTACTACGACTACGACGACGACTACTACTACTGTCGCGACCATACGACGACAACTCCTACAAAACTACCAGCTGCAAAAGCAGCCACGACAACAGTCGCAAAAAACCCGCGACAGAAACAATCACGAAGCTCTGATGCTGTGTGATCATGAACTTGGGGGCCGCCAGCCAAACCCTTCTTAAACGCCCCTTCTGGCCCTTTGGCACTCCTTCTGAAACATCAACATCCGAGAAAGATGTCCAGAAACTCTATACGATGAATCCCTGAAACCTAAAACCATCTGTCTGAAAACCTTGGCCAAGATGCTTGCTGGCAGATGAATGGCGGTGGGTTCACGTCAAGGTGCGGCCTCTCCAGCTCCAGCTCCGTGTGCATACCTTCGTGTTGAATATTGAGGCCTATCAGAATCATTCGAATCAGCTTCGGGGTATGTCAACTATCGTAGAACATGTAACAGGGCTGTAAGGGGATATTAGGGATATGAGTCACGAGAATAAGCTTTTTCTTCAAACCATCTATGAAGGTTCTGTAGGCTTTGAAAGGCCTGCATCAGGAGTTCTACAAAACTTCTCGTAACATGGCTTGGGGCTTTGGGGTTTGTTTTTCGGACTCCCTCCCGGGGTTCGGGAGTAGTGTTTCTTGGGTTTGGCGTCTTGATAGGCTCGGGGTTTGGAAAGCAGGGTCCTTATGATGTGAGCGTTTCTATCGTCGCGAGGTTTTGGGTTCAGGCTGAGTCAGGGTTCCGGGAAGTCGCAAACACTCTTGGGGTTATGGATGCTCGATGGCCCAACCAGCCTCGAGTCTGAGTTGGTACAAGGGCCAAGGGCTTGATCATGCCTTCGGTAGTAGTAGTAGTAGTAGTAGTAGTCGTCGTCGTCGTCGAAGAAATAGAAGTGAAGTAAAAGTGAAGTAGAATAGAAGTGAAGCAGAAGTAGAAGTGAAGTAGAAGTAGAAGAAGAACTAGTACCTAGTAGTTGTCAAAACTGAGTCGGGATGGCGGTGACTCTTTGCTTTGATATTTTTTTGAACGTTGGGGCTCCGTGGGGCTGCTATGTGGTGACTCTGAGCCAGCATTATTCGTGGGGGTTCGCATGTGTATGTTGTGAGCGTTACGGCATGGCATAAGCAAAGTTTCGGTGTGCACAGTTTGTGACCCTGGCATATAGTACCTAATGCATCGCTTATGTAGTATATAGCATAAACTATATGGTGTAGAATATACGAGGTAAGCTATAGTATTTAGCATATACTTGACATGGAATAGTATAGTAACAGTATACATATATATATATATGTATTATATATACTATGTATATGACATAGTATAAGTATAATACAATATACAACATAGTAGGAATATAATAAGCTTATAGTATAAAACAGTATACATATATTAAGCGTCATATTATGAATACATTATATCTATATTATACATATATTATAAGTGTATTAATTCTGTTATGTTTATATTAAGTATAGTATAGCTATATTATACGTGCTATTAACTATTATAATAACTAATATGGGACTCCCCTTCTGCGAATGCCCCGCCCCCTTCTGCGAACTTTGGTCTAATAGGCAACGGACGCTGCGTCAAACTCGTACCCCCATGCGTGCGGCCCTGATTGTGTTAAATCTCAATATATGTCTTTCCTGTTTGCTACTGGGCTCAGCAATCTTGCCAGCCCGGCAACAGAAAAAAAACAAAAAACGCAGTCGTTCACCCAGGCTGCTTTCCAGGTCCTCCCATGTCTTGATTCCCTTCCACTTCGAAACCTGCCACAGGTGACTGAAGCAGAAAGAAGCACTGCGAAGACCTAAACTAAACCCAATGCAGCGGAGCACGCCGCAAGCAATAGGAGCATGAAGTATCTTCACTGCCGGCCGTTCGGGTTCTCACTATATACGAGTGCCAGGAGTGCTGCTATTGAAAAATAACATGCACTACGAAAGAGCTGTTGCAGAATTCCATCCCTCCATGCTGAACACTGCAAACCCTAACACTAACAACTTGAATAACTCACGACAGGACTTCAACGAACCGCTGTCCCAAAAGAAGCTCGAAGAAGAAACCCCCGATCTGTCCATAATTCTCAAAAGCCGAAACCCTAAACCCCAGCGCCCCCTTCCCGACCCCGTCCCCACGAAGCAAGAACAGGGGATCTGGAACCCTAAACACCTCCCCTGTCCGGTTTAGGGTTTAGGGTTTAGGATTTAGGGTTTAGGGCCCGCACTGCAAAAACTCTTAGAAGGAGCTTGTGCCTGCTTGAAGCCTCGGATGGTGATGACCTGGGGGCTATACAGCGAACTTCAGAACGTTTGAACAGGATTTTCGCATGACAAGTGCTGAAATGCCGTATGCCAGGTTCCATGTTCCGAATCGGGCCTTGCCCCCCAAAAAAATCACTGCGGATAGGGATATAGCTCATGAACTCCCGCAGGGTATGGATAGCGACATGAAAAGTCGCCTGCTTTCTTGTGTTGTTGAGCAGGTCAGAGGGTTCAGAAAAAAATCTGGTGGAAGCGTTTGCCATGCTTCGGGGATGCCTGGGTTTAGGCTGCGATCAGGAATAAGCATTGAGTGTCTTGTTTGCGGGTGCCATATTTTCGAATTACATGACTTCAATTAAACATGAAGAACTGCGACAATCCAGGATCTATCTTGACCTACTTTGCTGTATATTTAGTTATATTAGCACCAATATGGAATTCAAACTTTAAAGGACCCTGCAAAAAAGCAGGTGGGTTCTGATAGGTTTCAGTGTGAACGGAATTGTCAATGGCAGTTTTCCGCGGTAAGGAGCTGATTAAAAGGAAGAACGCCCGATTTCTTTAACTAGCAAACCATGATTTCCCACTTGCACGCCTTGTGTGGCAGTAACCCTTCAATTCACCAGTCTGTATACCGTTTTACAGCACCTTTGCTAGCCCTGAATCTGAATCCGATGCCCCTGGCCCCTACACCCTGACTCTCTCTCTCTCTCTCCCTCCCTGTCTCTTCCTCCCGCCCATGTTTGTTGTTTGTCTCTCTCTCTCTCTCTCCCTGCTTCTCTGTCTCTCTCTATCTCTCGCTGCCGAAGAACATTACCAGGACCTACAAGCATCCAAGGGGCCAGGTCCGACGACATGCTGGAGGGATGCAATGGGGCAACAGTCACTTGCTCCTCCTGTACAGCGCGCGTTTACCGTCTGGGGATTAACCGTACATGTTACTGAGGGTTTGCTGTTATTAGGGGTTCTTGCCTCCCACCTGGCTAGGACGAACCCGCAATGCAGTGTTTTGGGGTTTGGGGTTTAAGGGTTTCTGATCTAATAGAGGGCTCTACAGGTCGTGTCATGGTTGCTACAGAGGCTAAGGCTAAGGAAGAAGTATTATGATTCAAGGTATATAGTCCTTGATGAAGGGATGCGTCGGTGTGAGTGTATATAGGGCCTCTGCACAGGCTGTATACAACGCACTCAAACGAGAAACGAACACCTCGATTCTGCAACGCGGCTTCCCCACCTGAATGATGCCCAGAATGATTCCCGTCGTTTGGAGTGAAGCATCAGCTGGCTATCACCTTCCTATGCGGGGAACACCTGGCCAGGTGGACCGCACAAGGGCATGGAAGACGGCTTTTAGCTGTTGGGTTCGTTTTACGTTTCGGGATTGTGATTCAGGATAAGTTGGAGTCGTAGCGTACAGCGCCTCCAGGTCTGACAAGCGTGTCGAGAAGCCCATTCACCGACCGTGACAACATTAAACGAAGTACTGCTTGCAATGAGGAATACGTTGAGTCGTAGTTCCACCTGCAGCCTAGCATACACATACCTCCCAACAACCGCAACGGTGCCCACCTCCTACAACAAGCTAGCTTTGTAACTTTTGAGCTGCATGATGACTCTATGATGCCATGCCGATTGCTTGTAAAGATCCAACAAAGCCTCAGCCCCTCCAAGAGCCAGTAGACACCACGGGCTAAACCAGGAAGCAAGGCCAAAAAACAATGAGAAACCTGACGAAGTTCTGAAACATCCTTTTCCAATGCTGTCCCTGGACGTTTCATGTCCATCATGAACCCTCCCTCTCCCAGGCATTCGGTACGTCCGTCATGAACCCTAAACCATCAATCCCAAACCCTAAATCCCTTAAACCCCAAAACTAAACCACACTCAACCCTAAACCCCAAAACCCTGAACCCCTTAGAGCACAAACCCTAAACTGCCCTGAACCCTCAACCCTAAATCTCTGAACCTTTTTAGCCCTAAACCCTACCTGAACCCCAAGTAACCTACCTTTTTAGGGTCCTATATAAAGAAATCATATTAGGGAACCCCAAAAAAGGGGTGGGTTCCTTAGGGTCCAGGTAAACTCTGACGAGAGGAGCTGCCTTCGATCTCGGTGACTCCAACTCTCCGTTGATCTCAAGGCAGAAATCGCAGGACTCCACGCCACCATACTCCTTGTAAATACACGTATACATGTATAAGAAAAGGATGAATATATAATATATACAAACTGTGCTTAATACATATCTATGTATGTACATATTATGAAGAGAGACTGTTTATAAGATTGAGACACAGTTATAGATAGAGTTATAGATGTGAGGATGTACGTATAGAAGGTTAAGTTATAGCAGACTCAGATTTGATCGGACTGGGCTAGAGTAGAACAGATTCCGATAGATAGATAGATAGATAGAGTTGTACCGACAGATATACAGAGATGTAGATACAAAAAGATATAGATCTACATATTGATATGATGGATACTATTCTGAGAGCTGGAAGCTTTTTGAACACCTCTTTCCACCCACTTTCCAGCAGTGTGGGGTTTTATTGTTCCAGTTCAGGGCCCATTGCTTGCTTCTCGTCTTTGTGCCTGCGGTTTTGGTTGCAGGGTATATGACGGTCTAGACCATGCTCATCAGCTTGGTTATAATTGTCTCCTGCGTCGCCAGACAACAGACAGAGCAGATTTAGGGAATATGGCAAATATGGGATTTGGGCTCCCTGCAGAATCTGACCGAACCGTTTTGGCCACAGCATGTGGAACGTATAGGCCACCAACTTGGAACTGGTTACGTCCTGTCCCATCGCGCAGCCAGAAACCAAATGCCTGCACCCAAAGCCCTGTGCCATGACTGTTTTCGGGACGCTTGTGGGCTAAACTTGGCATTTTCCTAGAGAGGGGCGGCAAATCAAAACAGTCAACTCTCAAATCCTGAACATGCCTGAAACAACGGAAACCTAAAACACCAAAAGTTCAAAACCCCACAACCCTAAACCTCTAAACAACCCAGCCCCAAAACCCCTAAGCCTACCCATGCCGGCCCAAGTGTCCACCGGGCAGTCATGGGGTACGTGCGGACGGGGAGACCATTTGCCATCTGGATGCGTGAGCCACGGCTTGGGTGCATCCTTCTCCTTGGAGATTTTCTGTGTTTGCCTTAAGCAAAGCAATCATAACCTACCGTATTTAAGGACAATGGTAGCGTCAGGTGGCGTGCATACATACGTATATATATATATATATATATGCCTGTGTGTAAATACATGAATACATAGATATAAATGCATACTCATCTTGATCTAAACTCTTTATTTGTTTATACAAGTAAAGAGGTTAATCTTATATATGCTTTTCTACATATATATATATATATACAGATAGATAGGTAGATAGATGTAGCATACGTATCGTTTGAAAGCAGAGAGGGGTTGGGGTTGAGGAGCAGAGAGGGGTTGGGGTTGAGGGCTTCGGCACACTCGGACTCTCGAGGCAAGAAAACTGAGGCCCAGGCCCCCGGTAGGATCCAGAAAGTAGTTCCCTTAATGGGGGGTTCCTATAAAGTACCCTTAGTAGTATAGGGCCCCAAATTAAGGGATCCACTTTCTAGATCCTCCCGGGAGGGTCGGGGAGCAGACAGCTAAACCCTAAGCCCGTTTAGGGCTGTAGGGATCTATAGGGCCCGTGCCATAGATGCCCTAGATTCCCCGCTTCCCAGAAGCGCAGCTTTGGACAACGCACTAGAACTGCGTCGTGGGAAGGGTACAGAAGCAGGCACAGAGGGACATCCACAGGCCGCAGTGCAGCTCACACAAATTCACAAACACTCAGCAACACCAAAGGCCAACAAAGGCAGCAGCAACAGCAAGGCAGACATTCAGGTGCTTCCAGGATCTCCAACACTTTGTCCCACCCACCCAGCTGACAGAGTCGCACCGCAGGGAATTCGTCCGAAACTAGCCGCAGAAGGAGCGCAAGTCCTAGAAACAGAAGGGGGCCTTTAACTTACACCGCCACCACCAAGTCACAAACAAAGGCCTGAAAGAACCCCTTGCGAAACTGAACTCGCCAGGCCATCCGGATGTGTGAGCGCTCACACTAGCAGTACACTACCACCTAACATGGTCCTGTGCCTCCCTCAAGCCATATAGCTGCACCATCAGAGTGCCGAAGCTGCTCCGAAGCAAACATCGCTTTCACCGGTGATGCTTTGGTGTCGCGCGCCAGCGCCAGCTAGGTGCGCAAACACGCCAGAACACTCCAGTGCAATGTCAAATGGTCCATCCACAGGAGATGAACAGATAACACAAACCAGTGTACTGCATTCTGATATCAAGTTGTACCAACCTTTACGTAATGCTATATGATAGGTTAAATCCTTTGCAATATGCCAGAATAACATCCTGCGTCTATAAGGCAGGCATGCAGCCAAGAAGGTGAGCTTGCAGGGCCTTACAGGATCTTGATGTTGGTGATTTTGGGGGCCCGGGGCTGAGGGTTCAGGAAGGGATGGGGTTTAGGTTTACAGGGTGCGGGGTTAGGATCCTTCATCACCAAACCACCAGATCAAACGCCAAGTCTCGGCGGCTTTCATGCTGTTGTCCATCTTTCGGTGTTCCTGCTGGGAACTCATGCTTCTGATTCAGACTCCTGAACTCTTGAGCTACAGCCTCATATGCATCTTCTGGCTAAGTGAAGGAATGACGTTGTTTCCGTGGCTGCTACAGCTTGCAGTCACACGTCCTCCTCCTGCTTGAATACTGCTTCATATTCCACCTCAACCAGCATCATGCCTCAACATTCTTCCCGAAACACCGTGGCAACAGCAGGGATCTTTTACATTCAGAATAGAAGGGACGGAATTTGCTTAAGTGGTCCATGGCGGTTCCGCGGACCCCAGCAACCGCTGAACCCTATGGACCTCGAATGCAACATCCCGAGAGCTCTAGACCTCACCTGCAAAACCTATAATGGAGGGGCCTTGAAAATTAGAACAGGGTTTGCGGCAAAGTTATAACTATAGTATCATCAGGAACTCCCAAATTTCTACAGGTTATTAATGCCCGCTACATAACTCCTTGCTCAACGACTCAAAGGTTTAAGTCTTGGGAGGTGCTACCGTGAAGCCAAGGTCCTGTAAACCCTACGGCGGTATGGCGATAAGCCGATGCCGCTGTCCTTTCAACATGAATGCGGAACCGGAAAGTCATGAACCTTGACACGCCCACATGAACAAGCACATAATACTAACGTGTGTGTGTATATATATATATATATATATATATATATATATATATATTACTTTCCGAATCCTGCATGCCAAACCCCCAAGCCCAGAACCTCAAAGACGTAAAGCTCTGGGCTATCCTGTAAAATACCAGAACCGCGGTTTAGGCGTTAGGGTTTCTGGTATGGTAACTTTAAATTCGTCACTTGGGTTCCCCAAAACTATACAACTCTCATGGCCCAAACTTTTCCTAGGCTTGCAGGCCCGCAAGCCTTTTATAGTAGCCATAGGCCTAGCAACATTTCCAGTGCGAAGCCTGAAACCTGTCTGTCTGAAAGCCCTTTCAACTCCGCTTCCCAATGAGTGGCGCCTGCTTTGACCCAGGCTGCACTTTGTCGGCAACGGGGACTTTAGTTACTGTAAGCCAGAACGGCTCCACAGCCAGGGCTTGTGGGTTTGAGAACATGTAAGATAAGATAGGGCTGGGTGCATGGGTTCCCGTTTGGGGTACAATTGCAAGGTTGGGGATGTTTGGGCTTGTTTCGCGCCTTGCGTTTGCGACTCACAATGTTTGTGTGCGAAGTTGGGTCGAAAGTTTGGACTCTGACTGCATGTTACATGTGCAACAGTAGAGCTTAAACCTCAGACCATAGACCGTAAACTCCAAACCGCAACACGTCGAGGATGTATCTGGAGTACGCACTCTCGAAACGAGTATCTACCAAAAGAGAGTATCTACATAATATGGGTATACAAAACACCAAAGGATTGTATTGTTATTTAAGAAACACTTCACTTTGCAATCTGCCGGAAAATAAGACGAATGAACACAAAAAACAAAACCAATCCAGCAATCAAATTCTTGAAAGTGTTCCGGGATGTCTGCTACTTTAGGGCTTGGGGGCTTAGAGTTAAGGTTTGGGCCCAAACACCGGCGGTATAGGGGTATAGGGATATCTAACAAGGGCCGCTTTTACCTGCGGGCCAGCGGCTCCAGGTCCTCCCTGTACTACCTGTAGTCTCCATTATCGTTCCTTTTTTGGGATACCTTATAGGATCCTTAATATAGAATTGGTTAAACCAGCCAGAAAAAGGAACTACAATGGAGACTATAGGTACACTATGCTCTCATCTGTTTTCCGGGAGGTTGATCCTCAAGCTCGAAAGACCCAAGCTCGACTGCCCACACCTGAAGTCACAAAAGAGAGCTGCGCCTTCTGCAAACGGCTTCGGAATTTGTCGCCCCTCCCCCCTGACTTTGAGCCCGTGCGATGTCGCCAGGTACCAAGGGTTGCTGCAGAAGCTTCAATAGGTTGTGGACAGCTCGGTGCCAACATAAGACAGTCGTCGCAAGAACGTTGCTCAAGATTTGGGTCTCCTATACTTATGAGGAAGACGTGGAAACAGAAAGAACGGCGTCGACGTACAACCCTACTGGTTCGCAAGTTTTCTCCAACGCACGAACAAACGCCATGTTCAGATCCCATGCATGCCGAGACGCAGCCCCAACTCACACCCAAACTGATCTCTCCCATGCGGAGTCTCCCGGTGCCGAGCTCGGGAGTGCAGAATTTCAGGTCGCAAACTAATAAGAATACATCGAACCTGTCCAAAGGGCTTATAGGCCTAGGGAATTCCCATATCGAGCAACCGTGCCTCACCAACCCTGGGATCTCTGACCTAGTTGTCCAATATCATACGTCATAGGGGCATCAAAAGATAACCTTTACAGATAAGAGGCTATTCGGTTTGGATGGTTTGGGTTATAAGGATTTAAGGTTTGGGGCAGTTCACCGGTTTCGTGACTGGTGGGAACTTCGGGTTTTGGTCGTCAATGTCTCAGAGGTTGCCGGGTGATTGGGCTTTGGTTTAAACGGCTTGAAGTAATCGCTTACATGGGAATGGAGGCTGGGGCACTGCGCCTATTTATGCAGCATGACCGTGACCTTGAATTGGCTGTCTGTCTGGGCATACGAAGTAGATATGTCCCAGTCATGCGTCCGCAAAGTCAAACAGCCTTCAAGAATCTGCAAGCTAGTGGGCAAGATACAACTCATGTCAAAAGTACCCTGCTTGAGCTCATGTAAACTCCAGACCTTGTCATAGGCTGCCTTGCCCATAACGTGTCCTCAAGTACGTCGCTTCTTTCTGCTCGCAGGACGGGGGCTACAGCTCTGGCGCCCAGGTGAAGGTTGAGAAAAGGTAAGCACCCGTAAAGCATATTCTACTACGACCGCCATCGAAGAGACGTGGGTCTTTCCCAAGCCCTCTCCGGCGGACATGTTATGCTCGACGTTGATGGGCATGCTTGAGCAAGCAGCTCACTTCTTGTTCTTCTTCTTTCGCTTCCTTTTGGCGTCCTGAAACAGTACTGTCTGATCCCCAGAGCAGTCAAGCCCAGGGTCGTGGTGAGTTAGTGGGCTTAGTTTCGAGGCCATTGCCAACGCAACATCTGGGAGCTTGAGGCTTAGCTTCTTGCAGTTACCGGTTCCGGGCTTTAGAAATGCAAGGGTTTTGTGAAATTCAGTGTTGAGGGTGTCGGATGTGTCCAAGATAGGTCGAAATCAGCCGTTAACAAGGATACCGAGCCCTGGACAGCTCTAACAGCCCGCGTCTTGAAAACATATCCTGGATCCTATAGGCAATCTCGCCTTTCCAAGACAGGGAGAATTGATTGTGGGAAAACGGCCCGTCAGCCGAGCGAGAAAATGTCGTAGCAGCCATGTTCTCAGATCCCACCCCCTGGCAATTCGATGGCCGTGCTCATGGTACGTGCGACACCATCTTCTTGCGAAGATAACTTGGTCCCGGATGCAATGTTGGCTAATTAGGTGTCAGGAACAGTACCCTGAAACCTTTGTACTACAAACCCAAAACTTCGAGAAGAGCCCAGTCGGAGGCCCTGAACTCGTGAGCTGATGCTCGATAAATATTTCGCGGAGTGAGTCGCGGAGGTCTTTGCCAGTCGTACGCCTCTGCCATTTCGATTAGATGCAGCATCCCTCAGACCTCAGAGTGTATGCTTATGACTTCTTATGATTTACTATTGCACTACGAAATATATTAAACCCTTTTTCCTAGAACAGTAGAGTTTACCAGGAAGGCAGCTCTCTGTCTTCTACGTGCTGTTTCCAGCGGCCTTCTCGAAGAAGTGGTAAAGGGACCCAGGGTATGGCGAAGGTGGGCGGAATAATTGCAAAAAGCCATTCTTATTACCCTGAAACCCCAAATCCTAATTACACTAAACCCCTAAACCCCTGCAACCTAAATTTGGACAGTTCACTTTATGTGCAGCAAGCACCTTCATCCTACCCCAAGAGGCCACACAGAAAGGCATTTTTCGGAAGCGCCACATGGCCGCAGTCTTTGCTGGTCATCAAGCTGGCACAGTGTATCTATTTTAGTCAACACAATATGCTACATCATTGATGCATATGATGTCTGCAACAGCATGTATGGAACAAAATAACATAGATACCCAACCACCGAAAGCGTCTGAACTTAGCATGATGCTAGTAGCGAGTATCAAACGGCCAAGTGAAAAACGGGAACATGGGTCTGCACCTGGCTACAGGGCACTTCCGGCTGCCACCTGGGAAGTTCAAGAAAGTTGCTGTGCGCGATGCACATCACACAACCAACACACATACACGCACACGCACACGCACACGCACACGCACACGCACACGCACACGCACACGCACACGCACACGCACACGCACACACACACACACACACGCCCACACACACCCACACACACAACCACACACACCCACACACCCACACACCCACACACCCACACACCCACACACCCACCCACACACACACACACACACACACACACACACACACACACACACACACACACACACACACACACACACTCTCCCTCTCTCTCGCGCTCCAGAAAGCTGGAACCTGGATTGAGGAGGATGGCTGCCCAAGCTTCCTACACTTTAAAGCTTGGGGCCACAAGGATGCCGCAAACTTCTGGTTCACTCAACGTAACTTTAAGGTTTAGCGTTTAGGGTAGTACGCACATGACATCATGTCCAATATGGGTTCCAGATCCTAAACTTCCCAAGCCCTAGTTGTGAGATCTTGGCTCACTCGTCAATGTCCTCCAGCTCAGGTTCAACATGCTGCCGCTCCGTCAAGACGAAGTCGGACAAATGGAGCCAGACCTTTATGTCCTCACGACTGCTTGCCGACGCACGGTCGTGCACTTTGAGATTGGCTTTTTTTGCCTGCATATACCTCCCCGGCTGGTCCATCACTCGGAACCAAACCGTCTTGCTGAAGTGCTTGGGCTTCAAGTTGGGATCCTTTGCCGCTTTCTCACCGAAGCCCCGCACTCGAGCACGCACGGACTCCCAGTCCGTGGGGCGGATAAATTTTCGGAGGCTTGGCATCTCAGGATCCTCTGGAGAAGAAGCCTTGTAGTTCAGATGCACTTGGCAAACATCCTGATGCTCCCTCGCAGCTTCCACCAAGAGCATCATCTCTTTTAGCTGGGGCAAGGTCTGCAGGATCGATGCTGCGGAGCCCTCCGACGTGATCGAAGTTGCAGGTCGGCCCTGTCGGCGAAGTGCAAGGCTCGACCTCACCAGCTCATGCCGAAAGCTCGTGGCGTCGGGGAAATACTCTCCTTGGTTGTAGCTTCGGGAGTATCTATGAGGAGTACCTCCGTAACACCCTTCAGGAAGTTATTATGTTTCACTTATGTTTCCCAAAGTGACACCTAGTCATACCTAGTCTCGCTCGGCATCCTGTCGCACGGCCAAGAGGTGATAGCTGTCATCCGAGCCATAGAGATGGGAGAGCGACACATGGAAGAGGTCTACGGACACTGGCGGGATCTCCTCGCGGCCCTTCAAAGACACCCGCATGCAAGGTGGAGTTCCTTCCTGTTCTACCGCATTCTGGGCGGATGCCTTGATGAAGTCACGAAAGGTTCGCTTTTCTGTTTCCGCGAGAAGGTGCGGGAAATGCATGGATTCAAAGCTTTCTGCCTTTGTCGAAAGCATCCGGCTCAAACATTGGCTTTGGCTTTTGATATTCAAGCTGCCATCCAAGAGCACAGAGCCGTCGCAAAGTCCCTGCAGCATGCGCCGGAATCCCTGGACCATAGCCTCAGCATCCTCCGATCGAAACTGTGCCATAAAGTTTTCTCGAAGAGAAGCCTCTTGCAGTGAGCCTACGACCATGCAGCTAAGGGCCACAAAGCTTTGGCTGCAAGCCAGCAAGAGCACGTGAGATGATAGGCCGTTGAGCTGCAATGCACCAAGCACTTCAACCACGGAAAGACCGAACTGTGCGGGCACGTGCAGGCTAGCATCGATCTGCACGACGGTCAAGATCATCCTTGAAAGAGTGTAGATATTTTGTACGACCGTGCCCTCGGGGCCCTGCAGGACACGTGTCTCCCACATGCTAACCCCGAGCACACAGTAAGCGAGGGCGAAGGCCACGCGGGATCTGCTGGCAGTCATGGTTATCCTCCCACAGCTGACGCATCCATGCACGATGTATGCGATACCGGCCAGAAAGCAAAGTGTCCGTGCGCCCGGTGCGTGCCACAGCAAAGGCACCGACACCGCCGCCCCGTGGTGCATCAAACAGCTTTGTAGATAGAAGTTCTTCTCTGTTTGGAGCTTCATCGCCTCATCGACGCGTGGCTGTGGCTTCTCGGTGCCCTTGGAAGAATATCTCTCGCGCATCCACCGCTGCGATTTCACGGCGGCATCGCGACCGAATACCAGCAAGTGCAGCCCAAAGAGAACCCACACTAGCAGTGTGGCATGCTTGCCATCTGCAAGCTCCGCGCCCGACCAAGCCATGGCCGCTCGAGGTGCTGGAGCAATGCAAGTAACAGTGCTATGAAGAAATTTGATGCCTCTTCTCCAGTGTCGCAGAACTGAAGATCTCGAAGCGCGAGAACTTTGGGGTTCAGGAAGTTCAGAATGCGCCGCTGGTTCAGATCTTGCGGGAAAATACGAATATAGAGCAAGCAAACAAACAGACAGGCGGAGACACCGACAGACGAACATCCACACATAAATATATAGTTACAGATGTAAAACTGCGTGGGGGATTGATCTCGACTAGGTTGCTGCTCTCCCCACCAGAGCTGTAATGAATGTAGGTGTGGCTGGCTTGCACTCTCCACAGACTGGACCCTGTCTCTCTCACACTTCCACACGTGCAATCCTATGCAGGCAGAACCGGCGGCCGTTCCTTTTGCACTCACTGCCGGCGGCGGTTCGTCTGTGCAACGGGATAGCTCTGATTGCTCAGGATAGAAGACACTTATAGCACTTAGCTATGGGCATTGACTTGAGCCAAACGTTGCGTGGGCGGTCACATAGAAAGGTAAAGATGAGGGACGCGTAGCGTACCCCCTTAGAGTCGAGGGACGCGTAGCGTGCCCCCTTCTCTTGCACTTTACACGGTCTTGCTCACAGCTCTTATAGTGACACCTTAGAACTTGACAAGGCATCGCAGTCCGTTCGCACCCCCCATGAGTTGCGTCTCCGACGCTGCTCACCCGGAAGATGGCACGATAGGACAACAGAAAATGTTCCGCCGCAACGTTGACATTGAAAATCAGAGCTTTGCATCCCAATTAGAAACGTTGTGACACTCATCTACGTCAGTAACGATCCCCTGAAATGGCAAACGAATCAGGCGTCACCGAAGAAAGAAGCATTCGCGATGGCATTCCATGGGCGAAGCTCAGAGGTCACGAACTGATAGGCGAGGAAGACCAAGCGTTGATTCATCTCCATCTTCGCGTGGTCGCAGGATCGCGGTCCCAGGGCCGGAGGTTTTCCTCTGGATACTGTTCCCTTTGCTTTCCTTTGTCCTTGCCTTTGTTTCGGCCTTTGCCGGCGGTGTAGTCATAGTAGGTGTTGGCGTTCCAGCCTCCATGCTGTTCACCTCCGGTTCTCTCACGCCCTTTTGAAGGTCCCTTGGCCGAAGAAGCGCTTGCACGTTCCTCCGTTGTGACAGGCGTGTCCAGAATGGAAGTACCACCTGGAGGGAGATAGTCAGCGGCCGAAATGTGGTGTAGGGCTTCAGTACGCTTGGTCGTCGGGTTTTGTTGTCTTTCAGCCTTGGATCTGTTCAATCTGTCCATGAAATGTGCAGGCATTTGCACATTGTGGTCCACCAGCAATCCGATGGTCTGGACTGAATGATCGGCATGAGTCAGCAGGATACCGACGGGGTCGATGTACAAGAAGTCCACTGGTCCAGTTGGCGTTGGTCGTAGCACTGAGAATTGTTGGTGTCCTGTCACCATCGGAATCACCTCGCACAGGACGTTCAGGCAACAAAAGTGCATAGCCTTCACATCTTCATCCCTGTTGCTCTTCAAGTACGTAGTAGGGTTGAAGTTGTCCCTGCCAATTCCCATCATGTTGGCTCCCCGCGTAAGCAAAGAAAGCATCTGATTCGTCCGGAAGCGCTTCAAAGTGTAAGTCCCGTTGGGATCATACTGCTTGAGGTTCTCAGGTTCCTTGGCAAAGCGAATGATCTCCTCATCAGTCACATCCCTGCTCACACCAGTCTCTCTGTCCACTACAGCCAATGATCCCCACTTTCCAAGCACATCATAGCGTTGGCCAAGTGCGAAGTTCTCCTTCATCTGAAACAACGGCATAGTAGCCCACTTCGCGAAGCCTGACCAAGCCTTGTAGATGGTCCTGCATACCACGAAAGCCATATACGAAAGAGCGACCATGTTGGCGTCAATGCAATGGGCATTTCGCTTCCCTGAGTAGTAGGATGGCTGCATGGCGGTACGTGCGAGTTGTAGCTCAGGATCGATGTTCAAAGACTGGCCGGTAATGAAGACGGGACGGCGTTCCTGTGCAACTGCATCTGGTACTGCGTCATCAAAGTCCTCTCCTGGCTCTATGTCCATTTCTTCATCAGGTTCCTGTTCTGGATCGTCCTCCGCGATGACAGATGGTTCTGGGATTTCCTCAGGTTCCGCAACGGTCTCTACCTCCATGGCTTCCTGCTCCTCTTCGGGCGCCTCAGGCACTGCTGCTGCTGCGGCTTCCATTGTCTGAGCAATGAAGTCACTGGGGATCTCCGTAGGAGTCTCCCGTTGTGGAGAACCTTGGTAATATCCGCTAGAAACGAACTGTGACCAGCAAGACGTGCATCGGGAGAAGCATGCTGGAACGATGTTGTAGCATGCCGGGCACACCCTCATTCTCCTTCCATCCTCGTCTCTGCGTAGGTCTTCGGGTCGCCAATTCTTGATGACAAACTTGATCCCTTTGTCCATGTAGTGATGCCGAACCGTGTTCTCCCTGTGGGACTCCAGGACAGTCGTAAGGTCTCGAATGATCTGCTCCTTGCTGGTGTCGTGGGGTCCAGGAGGCATCTCGCAAAGCAATTCCATGATCTTGCTCGGCGTTCGGTATCTCTCGAACTCAGGGAGCAATGGTGATGCATTGTAGTCCAACACCAGCTCTTTCTCCAATCGTTCATCGTAGATCTTTTCCACCAGAGCGAAAGAGTGTGTATCTTGAGGATCCGGGACGCAAAACCATACCTCCTTGACGAACTGGAACGGTATCGTTCGGCCAACGATCATAATGCCGCTGTCTGTGATACGTCCATCCTCTCGTGCAAGGTCCTGCGATGGGACATGAAGGACCGCCAGTGGCATGTGCTTGGCATCTCGTCCATGTACCCGCATCTTGGTCGTCGCATTCCGGTGATCGAACGGTGCAAACACCCCCCAATAGCTGTGGAGTCTGCCGCCTTGGTTGCCTCGAAATTGGCGCCTATGGTCGAAGTCCCCGTCGGGGTCCTCCGAACCAGGCATGATGCCTTGCGTGACAATGGAATCCAAGTTGCGGCATGCCGTAGCGTGGAACGCGCCTCCAAGACGTTGCAAGAGGGTCATAGATGGAGATATTGCGAACCTGTTCTTGTCCAACTGAAGCAAATTGTTCTGGGGATCTGAGTGCGCAGAGTGACCACTCGTAGCCCGAACTGCCCATGGCTTCACCCAGCCGTTGCAAACGTTCAGGTACCTCTGGTTGTGCCGGCAACGATCATTGTTCTGGATCTCCGTGATCTGGTCAGGAATCGATACCAACATGTTCGAACCTGCGGATCCAAGAGTTTCCACGCCGGGGTCCTTCACTCTCACTCCCAGGAACTGCAACCGAATCTTGGCCTTATGGCGTTTCGTGGCTGCGAGCATGTTCCCTTGGAACAATAGCTGAAGTCTTTCATTGTACACTCTCTTCCTCTGTTGCTCATCGGACCATGAGACCGCTTCGGTGATGCGTCTGCTTTCATGGGTCCATAGTTGCTCATGCCTCACCAAGTCTTCGATCAGCACCCACCCTCCTTCATCACATCGAATGACGCTGCTGAATGCTACCTGGCACCTGTTGTCAAGCCATTCCGAGCCTGGGCGCCTGGCGATTCTGTGACGCAGGTCAGATTGGATGCATGATAGCGCCCAATCCGCGTTTATTCTGCGCTGACGGGTGATGTTGCGAAGGACAACTTCGTTCACGATGTCCCATCGATTGTTGATGAAGCTTGCACCCTTGGTTGGGATCAGGTCGAGAATCCCGCACCGGATTGGCCTTCCGCCGCCGATGCATTCATAGCCTGCATTGGTGTAGCCCTGAATGGTATCATCATAAGCAAAGCTAGGACGGTCTCCTCGTTGAGGTAGGCGTCGGTCGCGATGGTCCGAAAGCTGCTCAATGAGGTCCACCACCCGCTGGCTATTCTCTGGTCCTGATTCCTGCAGTGGTACGCCACACGCATCATGTAGGCCCCGACGGTTCTCCACATCCGTGCAGAGATTGTGTTTGTTCTCATAACGGATCAAGACCACATCACCCCGTACGGCTTCGCCTCCGCGTCGCGGTCGGGCTTTGGCCTTGGGTCGTCGGTCCGAGGATGCAACACTCACATGGTCTGTGGTGTCAACGTCCATTGGCTCAGCCTCTTGCGGAGGTACTCGACGTGGATATCGAAGAAGGCTTTCCTTGATGATCTGGATGCCTCGAAGTACCAGATCCCGGGTTGCAGCATTTTCCGTGCAATTGGACAGGGTGTGTAGGTCACTGCCACAAGCGATACAGAACGTGAGGCGGTCGCTTCCGACCGACATTTCGCCCTGAGCGAGTACTCCCACATAGTCCTGAAGCTGCGCGACAAATCCTTCACGAATCGCCTGCCTGGGATCAGGGCCTTCTGCACCTTGTTCTTCTTCGGGTTGCGCATCCACATCTACATCCTGTGCAGGTATTGGTGGAGCAACGGAGAACCCTGGATCGTCCGTGACGTTGTCAGCGGCCTGTGTCTCGTCGGTTCTCGCAATCTCTACGGGGTAGATATCACCATCGACGATCACTGTGAAATCAATCACGAGGTCAGCGGACATGTTGTTGACGATCTCAGCGACTGCTTCATTCTTCTTGGGCGGTGTCCTTTTGCGTGGGGAGTCAACCGTGATCAGCTCGATAGCTTCGGCCGACGCGTAGCGGAAGAATGATCTTTCGATTCCCCTCACGCACGCATTTGCTCCCTCAAGGCCACCCCAATTCGGAAAATGACTTGGGTGTCTCATTGCAATTGTAAGAAGCCCGAGCGCCAGCTCCACAGTGTCACCCAGGAGTTCCTCCTTGGGCAAGGCTGACCCTCTGTAGCATTCTTGGCGCTCCTCCGGAGTCAAAAGCATTCTCATGAAACCAGCATAAGCGCAGTTCCCGGCATCGTAGTAGCAGATGTAGCATGTCTTGCCTTCGGAGTCGTATCCTCTGTCCCATGCCAACTGTTTGGCCTTTCCCCA